TTCCTTCTTAATGGCAATGGCATGTGTCCTCTGGCAATAAAAAACTAAGGTCTTTTTACTTTTGAATTTTAGCTTTTTTAAAAAAGTTGTTTATTGGAGTATCTGAAAACTTTCAGCCAGTTAACGCTTCAGTTAGGAATCTGACCTGGTGGTTTCAGTAGGTCATCACCCTCTTTCCTGATGTGCCATCCAACTAGTAGTATAGAATAGACACAGTCATGATGGAGGTGTCAGCTTGCTTGGAATGGAAAGAGAGGATCACCCCAAATATATGATCAAGAATGAAAGGGAGGCCCTATGAAAGAATGCCTACTAGGACTGAAGGAAAGGCAGTAGTCAGGACAGAGCTGTCATCCAGCAAGGATAGGGCACAACCATGATAGTTCATCAGTGTGAAGCTCTTCCAGGACAATGCCGTCTTTCACATGTTAGGCAGGTTTTGATAAAACCAAAGGGAAAGCTAATATTGTCAGTGAAAGAAATATGCTGTTTCTATTTCTAGGCCTTTCTGGAATCTTTGGTTCTGTAGTTATTGTTGTCATTCATTTATAAAACCAATATTATTTGTTGCCCACTATGTCCCAGGCACCATTCTAGAAAAAACTTTCTTCTAGGGCTGTGTATTCTATGTATAGAGTTAGATAATAAGCAAGATATAAAAAGTAAAATATACGGTATTTCAGATTGTTTTAAGTGTCATGGAGGAAAATAAATTATGAAAGCGAGATGGAGAATATTGAAGGAGCAGATTGCAATTTTTAGAAGTACAGCTAAGGAGAACTTCATGAAATGGTAACATCCGAAAGGGGTAAGGACTTGAGCTGGGCAGATATTTAGGGGAAAATCTTCTAGGCAGAGGGAACTCAAGGCAGAGCCCCTCAGGTGGGATCTGCATTCCACCTTGAGAACTAGGAAGGAGGCCAGGAGAGAGGAATAGCAGGGCAGGAATGTGAAGTGATTGGGGCTTCTATAGGCATGTGAGGTAGGAACCATTGGCAAGTTCTGAACAGAAGAGTGGCACCACCTAATTTACATTTTAAGAGTTGCTGTGGTGAGATTAGGAGAGGGCAAGGGCAGCAGTAGGAAAACTAGTTAGGAGGCCATTATAGTGATCTAGGTGAGCAGAAAGTGACTTGGGCCAGTGTGATAACCCAGTAATTTGTGCTTTATTCAGAGTTGGCAACCGTCACCTCATCTCTATGTGTATGTGTATCCCAACAGTCAAATTTCACTATAATTAGATTTTAAAACTGCACTTATAAAGCAGTACTTATATATTAACAAGCCATAAGATTGATGTATAAGAGAAACATTAAAACAAAAAGACAATTTTTAAGATAAAAATAAAAACAGACAACTGTAGTGTTCTTTTCTTTTTTTATATATTTTTTTAAGTAGTTTTCTTTTGCTATAGGTCACATGCACTTGCTGGAGAGACAGAGAGAAAGCGAGAAGTCACGCCCCAGTGGGGGTGGCCATGCCACAATCCCTTCTCCTCCATTCTCCTCCTGGGATTTTGGGCACACACGCACACACATCTGGCATGAGTTTCAAACTGCCTGGTCCAGGACTCGAGCTGTGGTTGGCCACATGGAAGTCCAGCGATGTAACTGTTAGGCCATCTGCTGGTCCTTTTGTTTCTTTTTTAGTTTGCCAGAGGACATGTGTATCCACCAGAGAGACAGACGGAGAGGGAGAAAGCATTCCCAAGTGGAGTATGGTCATACTGCAATTCCTTCTTCCTTTCTTTCTTTCTAAGACAGATTTTTGCTACAGTGCTTGTTTATTTGCTCTACAGAGACACAGAGAAACAGAAAGCTATCACCCAGGGGTATGGTCGTGGCCACACAACAATCCCTTCTCCATTCTCCTCTCAGGATTTTGGGCGTACACACACACACACACACACACACACACACACACACACACGCCAGGCATAAGTTTCAAATTGCCAGGTTCGGGGCCTGAACTGTAGTTCATTACATGGGAGTCCAGCAACATAATACCATCTGCTGGTCCCCCTTCTCCTCCATTTCTTGACCCTGTCTGGATTTGGGACATGCACAGATATGTGCCTGACATGTTTTTCATGCTTCCAGGCAGGAATTCAAGCCAGGTGGTTGGCCATGTGGGATTTGCCTTCCTTTACCACTAGACCATGGGTCCAGACCAGGTAGTTCTATTTGTACAAAAGAATGTAAGTCTTTTTCTTTAGTTCTATAATAGAATTTGGATTTATTAACAGTATAAAGTTAACTTTTGAACATAAGGTTTATCAAGTTTTAGATTTTTAGCTTTTTGTCATACAGTGTATGTGCTTGCTGATAAATCACCCCCCAATGGGGCTGGCCATGTCCCAATCCCTTCTCTATTCTTCTCTTAGGATTTTGGGTACTCACGCACATGCATCTGGCTTTTTTTTTTTTTTTTAAGAGAGATTTTTTGCTATAGGGCATGTGCACACACCAAGGAGACGGGAAACGAGAAATCACACCCCAGAGGGATGGCCACACCTCAACCCCTTCTCTATTTTCCTCTTGGGATTTTAGGCATGCACACACACATGCCTGGCATGAGTTTCAAGTCACTGTGTTTGGTACTTGAACTGCAGTCAACCACATGGGAGTCCAGCAATGTAACCATTATGCCATCTGCTGGTCCCACATCTGGCATTTTTTATAAGCCACTGGGTCCAGGACTTCAACCACTCAGTCGGCCATGTGGGAATCCAGCACCTTAACCACCATGCCACGTGGTGACCCAATAGAATTCAGTTCTATGATGTGTTTATCTGTTAGAAGCAAGGAGGCTTACCTTTTTTTTGGAGAGGTTTTTGCTATAGGGTGCATGTGCTCACCAGAAAAACAGAGAGAGACAGGGAGACAGAAAGCGAGAAATCATCCCCCAGGGGGTATGGCCATGCTGCAATCCCTACTCCTCCATTTTCCTTTTGGGATCCTGGGCACGCACACACATGCACCCTGCATGAAGGTGTGTGTTTGTTTTTTTGTTTTGAGAGATTTTTGCTATAGAGCGTGTGCGCTCACCAGAAAGACAGAGACAGAAATCAAGCAAGAAATCACCCCCCAGAGGATATGGCCATGCCAGAATCCACTCTCTTCTTGGGATCTTGGGCATGCACGCACACACACCTGGTGTGAGTTTAAGCCACCGGGTCCAGGACTTGAACCGCAGTTGACTACATGGGAGTCCAGCGACATTACGCTGACTGCTGGTCCCACTTTTTTTTTTCTTAACAGAGAAAATGAGAAAACACCCCACAGTGGAGATAGTCATGACACAGTTCCTTCTCCATCTCCTCTTGGGATTTTTACACACACGTGTTTCTCAAGAGGCCAAATCTAGGCCTTGAACCACACAGTTGGTCATATGGGCTCCAGCCACCTCAGCCACTATGCCACCTGCTGACCCAGGCTTTCCTTTTTTCAGCCACACAAAGTATCTTTATTTAGGCTTGCCCTACAGGGAGAGCGCTATCCCAGAAGTTTTGATGAAGCCTGCAACTTTCAGAAGAGATTATGGGAGTGACTAGACACCACTTACTTATTCTTTCACTCATTCCAGAAATATTTATTGAGCACATGGTATATGCCAGACACTGAAAATAACTACACTGAGGAAGGTAGCTGTGGCTCTGTCCTAGCTCACAGTTTACAGTCTCAGAGTGTTCTATATTTCTTCTGGCATTAAACTGAACAATCAGAAAGTAATCTTAGGAGAACCAATATTATGGGAAGATTAAATGTGAGATTTTGAGTCAAGTAGTGACGTGTGCAAATTTTGACTTAAATTTCTAATTATCTGATTGGGGGAGCAGTTTTAACTATTTTAGAAAACAGGTGGTTTTTGTTTGTTTGTTTTTTTATTTTTTTGAGAGGTTTCCGCTACAGGGCGCGTGTGCTCACCAGACAGACAGAGACAGAGAGATAGAAAGCGAGAAATCACCCCCCAGGAGGGATGGTCACGCTGCAATCCCTTCTCTTCCATTCTCCTCTCGGGATCTTGGGCACGCACGCACACATGCCCGGCATGAGTTTTAAGTCACTGGGTCCGGGACACGAACCGCGGTCGACTATGTGGGAGTCCAGTGACATAGCCATTACGCTGACTGCTGGTTCCCTGAAAACAGGTGTTTTCTTAATCTCTAAAACAATGCCTATGTTATAACCTGTTGAGAGGATTAAATAATACATGTAAAGTGCTTTAGCAGAATGTAAGAGTTTTGTATTTAAAGTTAGTTGTTTTATTTTTGTAAACTATTTGACCTGAAAACAAATAATATTGTGAAATAAGTGCTAAACATGTATATGCGAAAAGTATGTGTATACACACACACACACACACACACACACAGCCACACAGCTTTGAAGAATATCTTTCTATATTGGGATATGGAAAGACTGCTGTGATTGTGTTTGAGGGGAAAGATCCAGAAGTAGGAAAGGTATTCAGGGCTTCTAGTAGATGCCAAGTATATCTTTGTTGCATGAATGACTGAAGACGTCCAGGACAATTGCTGTAACTACCTTGCCACTGTGGGTTGTTGGATGGAATCTATCCAGGCTTAGTTAGGCTTCTTACAGCTAACCATTGCAGCTTCATGAGCCCCCTCCCTAGCCTCATGAGTCTGGTAGATTATGAGCACCCTGGATTCAGAGACTGCAGGGCAAGACCCCATAGTGGATGCTCAAGCTGTGTGACAAGGGGCATTTAGCTACTCTGGTATTTTCCTAGGCAGGTTCTTAGGATTGTTTCCTCATTTATAGTTATCCCTACCTCAGTGTCTCCTTGTAAATCGTCTTCCTCAGCATATTCCTCCTACGTCTTCTTGGCCTCAAAGTCTGAAAAGCTACCTTACTCAGAATCAGATATTCCTTAAAATTTCTGTTTGGATTCTTTCCTTGAATGACTTTCTGATCATTGTCTAACTAAAATGAGAAATGGTTTTCTGTATATGAATTTATCTTTTTTCCCCACAGGCTCTCTAATTGAACAGCTAACTACAGAAAAATATGAGTGCATGGTGTGCTGCGAATTGGTTCGTGTCACAGCCCCAGTGTGGAGTTGTCAAAGCTGTTATCATGTGTTTCATTTGAACTGCATAAAGAAGTGGGCAAGGTCTCCAGCATCTCAAGCAGGTTAATAGTTTCTTCCTTTTCTTCTTTTCTCAATAATTTTTAAATCTAATTTAATCTATTATTGTTACTTTTTAATTCGACCAGAGAGAGAAAAAGTAAGAAAGCAAGCAGCCAGGTTCAGTACTTGAACCATGGTTAGCAATGTGGGGGCTCAGTGCCTTAACCACCACGCCACCTGCCAGCCCCTGTTTATTCCTTCTGAGAGGTTATTCTTACGCATTTGATATGCTCAGGTTTTAAACCTAGCTTAAAAAAATACTACTTAATTCCTCTTGGAGCCAGTAGGTGGTATGGTGGTTAAGGTGGCTGGATTCCCACATGGCCCATTTCAGTTCGAGTCCCAGACCCAGCAGTTTGAAAATTTGGGCACATATGCGTGCATGCCCACAATCCCAAGAGGAGAATGGACTTGAGAAGGGATTGCAGTGTGGCCATTCTTCCTGGGGGATGATTTCTCACTTTCTGTTTCTATGTCTCTCTCCAGCAAGTATATGCACCCTATGGTTAAAAACCTAAAAAAAAATAAATAAATAAACTATTTAATTCCTGTTTAATATTTATCTGCAAGGAGAGTATATTGCTTTGATCACATGTATCAGGTGACTAGAACTGAGCTAGCTCTTAAATAAGTCAGCTAAACCTAACAGTATGAAAATATATTTAGAGTATAATAAAATTAGTCACTCTTGTTGAAAATAGTAGCTTTTATCTAAGTAGTAGCCATAGAAAGCATTTCTTTTTTGCAGCCAATGGATGGTGTGATAGTTAAGGTGCCGGATTCCCACACGGCCGACCATGGTTCAAGTTCCAGACTTGGTGGCTTGCTTTTTCACTTTCTCTCTCTCTCTGTCTCTCTCTCTCTGGTCAAATTAAAAATAATAATAATAATAAATAAAATAAGTAAATAAGTCTTTAAAAAAAAAGAAAACATTTAAGTTTGCTATAGGGTACTTGTGCTCACCAATGAGGCAGAGAGAGAGCGAGAGAGAAATGAAAAGTAAGAAATAACTCACTAAGCAGCTAGGCACACCACAATTCCTTCTCCATTCTCCTCTTGGGGAATTTGGACACAAACACACATATGTGCCAGCATATTTTCCAAGCTACCATGTCCTGAACTCGAATTGTGCAATTGGCTGTGTCAGATCAAGCTGCCTTCACCACCACGCCAGCTGGGTGGCCCTGAACTATGACTAGTTAATTCAAAATACCTGATTTTTCCTGTGTGCACTCAAATATTTGGTCATATTTTTTTTCAAGCTGAAGTTCAAATAATGTTGACATTAGTAATAATAAAACAAGGGAACCAGCAGTTAGCGTAATGGCTATGTCGCTGGACTCCCACGTAGTCGACTGCGGTTCGCACCCCAGACCTGGTGGCATAAAACTCACGCTGGGCATGTATGCGTGCGTGCCCAAGATCCCGAGAGGAGAATGGAGGAGAAGGGATTGCGGCGTAACCATCCCCTCTGGGGGGTGATTTCTCACTTTCTGTCTCTCTGTCTCTGTCTGTCTGGCGAGCGCACGCACCCTATAGTGAAAATCTCTCCAAAAAAAAAAAAAAAAAAGAAAAGAAATAATAAAACAAGACAGATACTTAACTTGATTCACTATATCTGAAAGTTTTTAAAATAGAAGCCCAAATAGAGTATTGATCAAAGCATTCAATACTGTGAATTTGTTTCTTAAATGTGTGATATACATAATGTTGAAATTACTACCACTTCATCAGTATTGTGGCTTCCTATAGATTTGGATTTTTAAAAATTGCATGAGGTTTTCAAAGAATACTCATTTGGCTTATTCTCACTTTGTCAACAGATGGCCAGAGTGGTTGGAGGTGCCCTGCCTGTCAGAATGTTTCCGCACATGTTCCTAATACCTACACTTGTTTTTGTGGTAAGCTTGTTGACATGAACTGGTGAATCTCACTTGGTGCATGGTACATTAGTTCCCTGACCAGGAGAACTGGTCTACTGAACATGTTTTAGAAGTTTTAATAAGACTTTGAAGATGCAAGTCTGTAAGAAATATTTCTGTGGTCCATACACAGCTAGAGTATTGGCCTTTTTGCTCCTGGCAGGCTGTTCTAAACTTGGGCCTTCTCATCCTGGAGTCAGGCTCTTGCTACTCCTGATCTGTGGTACTGTTCTCCTTGGTCTTAGCTTGAGACCAGAGTTGACCAAATGGCAGAGGCAGGTATAGACATAGGCTCCCTCTCACCTGCAGGAGTGACATCTTTGATATTCCAGAATTGAGCAGCACGAGAAAGTAGTCTTTATTTTAATCCAAAAAATAAGTCATTGGTCTTTAGAAATAAGTTCTTTTATAAAGCAGCATTATAGACTCTATCCTTGTATTGTCACTCTTTATTGAATACTTCCTGATTTTGAATAACTTAGTTCCTTTTTGCGTGTTTTAGGAAAAATTTTCTGTGATCCTGATGCTCATTCCTG